CACACACACACACACACACACACACACACACACACACACACACACACACACACAGAGCTCTGGCCAAGTTGGCCAAGGCTGTGGACAAGAAGGTAACTTGGACATTGTGGGCAGCCTTTCGCGACTCGAGGGCGAAGCACAATTAGGAAATAATGAATTGAAGGTGGAAAAGTTTTTTAATTTCCTAGAATTTGGGCTTTGTTTGAAGGAAGGCAGTTTGGGATGATTTTTGTGAACCGTCACTTGCGGCCCGTGGTGAAGTATTGGTACCCATTTGGGTCCTTTTTTTTGGGGGGGGGGGGAACCAGGCGGGGCCTGCTAGAGGGGGTGATACAGGCATCCCATTGTAGCAGGGCCCCCGCTGGATGCTCCAGTCTATTGTTGGGAAGCAGCACCTGCTGGAAACCAGGCCCAGTGTCCCATTGTACACCCTTTTCAATCTTTACCCAGGGCATTACCTGGCTTCGGCTATGGAGGTCATCTGATCGCATGGACACACGACAACCACACTGCCTCTTCAGCTTCTTGTAGCCACCAAATGGGCAGAATTATCTCTGGCAGTGTCCTGTCTCTCTCGATCTCAACTAAGCCGCTGTCTCTGTACCGCTGCAGATCCAACCGCGAAAGATGCTGGGCCGGGAAGAGGGCCGGGAACTCGGACAGGGGTCGCAGTTGTATTTTTGCACTGATCTTGGCCCAATCCTTGAACACCAGGCTGTAGTCTCCTCTGACCCCTCGTTCGTCCGGCTGGTCTCGGATCTAAAAAAAAATGGATTTTGTAATGGCCCCGGAGGTATCAGGAAAATAGGGATGGTAGAACACGGATGGTACGACATAGAGCATAGGGCCTCGTTCTACACCACTAGAAAACCCTTACATGTAAGGGTTTCATCGTTCCACCTCTCCCTAATGACGAAAAAAAAGGTGCGAAATTTGTTTTCACATTCGCTGGCGTAAGGGCGAGCCCTACAGAAATAAGGACTCCCCAGCCAAAACGGACGCAAACGTAAGGACGGCCGTGGAGGTGACTTGAAATTAGGGGTGGCGCCCTTACTTTCCGCGGAAAAACCGCTTACAATTTTTATTTTCTTTTTGGTCAGGTGTTTCCTTCGCATTCCTGGTCCAAACGCTGGGTTGTCCGGTACACCATGGGACGGCGGTTCCACGGTAGTCTCCAACGGGTAGCGCCGTGGCCCGGCTGTGGCCATGTGGTTCCTCCGGTTAGCCGTTTCGACACCACTAGAGGAGGCGACCGTTGCAGGGGTCCCCGCGGAGGCGGGCGCACGAGTGTCGTTGGTGGCTCGTCTTTCGAATGCGAACTGTGGGTGGTATGTGCAGCCCGTCGATTTCGATGACGCAAAACCGCCCACCTCCCACCACCCCGTGCTGGTCGTCTTCTGCGAGCCGCTATATTCGACTCCTCTGCTTCCACGCTTTGTCGTCATCGAAAGTTGGCAGATCTGTTTGTCGTGTTTTGCTGCAGGAGCGCATGGCTGACATGGTGAGGACGACAGCTCTGCTAATTATCCTTCTTGGGACGGTGGTGCTGTTCATTGCTCTGCACGCGTGCCACCTGGCCAGTGCTCTCATCCGACGTGGAAGGAGGAAGGGGTTGAAGAGGCTTCGACAGGGCGCTTCAACAACCAAAGGGATGGGGGATGAATACAGTCGGGGTTGTCAGGGTTTCGGGATGGGGAGGGGGGAGTACGGAGGAGGGAGTGGAATGCAGCACAACGTCCACCACAGGTTTGATCCAAATCTGTATTCGCATCTCCCTCCTCACCAGCAGCCTTTGCCTGACGACACGACGTGGTCACCCCCTCCGTCGACATTGGATCTGGCATGGGGGTCGACACAGATGTCTTACGACGCACCAACGCGAGCAGAAAGCACGGGAGGGGGTGTTGGTCCCATGTCCGCACTGTTGGGCGAAACCCGGGGCGGAGGCCGTCTTCCATTCGATTTGGAACTCTCACCGGCGACCACCATGGACGTGTCTAGAACGGTCCTCGTCCAGCGGAGTGGACATGGTGGCGGCAGCAGCACGCAGACAATGCATGTCACCGACCTTGACGATGGGATGTCAATGCATCGGCCGAACCACGTGTCGAGGCCTGCGCCGAGCCAGGCCAGACCTGCTGCCAGCGTGCTGTATCACCAACCTATGGCAGGCGCGGCCATGCAGGAACGGAGGCCTGATGTGGGCGGTGTTGCGGAATCCCCTCGATGCGTGGAGCGTATTGTCTGCCGCTTCAATAGCTTGCGGGCGACCAGCGATGGTGATGGAGCACGACCGGACGGTGGTGCCAGCGAGGCGGACCGCGTCGATGTTGAAGACGACGATGGTGACGACGATGAGGAAGATGAAACTTGACAAGGAAGCAGCCTCCAGCGGGACGAAAAAGCAAGCTTCCAAAGGTTGTGGGAAAGCGAAGGGAAAGGATAAGGAAGGTGATAGAAACGGCGAGGTGGCGGGAGCGGTGCGCGGGGGAACTGGAATTTGAACGAGTCCCTCGTTCTTGTCCGGTGCAAGAGAGACCAAGATGACTACTTTGCTAATGCGGGAACCAACTTCGCTAGAATGAAAATCAAGGACCAGAAGTGGATGGACATCGCTAAGCGGATGGAGAAGGAAGGAGTTCGGCGGGATGGGGAGCAATGCATGAAGAGGTGGGAGAACATATTCGGGTGGTACAGGAAAGTGTGGGACATGGAGAAGGACTTGGGACTGCAATCGTGCTTCCTCATGAGCACGAAAGCACGAAAGGAGAAAGGGTACAGGTTCAATCTAGACCGCACTCTGTATGACACGATCCACATCATGCAGGGGAACAGCCAGGCCGTTCACCCGCCGAAACTCGTGGACACAGGCAACAGACAAGGACATCAACCAGTCTGACAGCAGGTCGTCTTCTAACGACATTCATGGCAAGCGGAAGAACGCGAGGTAGCTGGCTTTCGAGGCACTGACGGATGTGATGAAAACGCACTCCACCGTAGTCGCGGAGTCTGTGGACCGCGCGAGCAAGCGGCAGTGCGACCTGCTCCAAAGGTAGTGCGACATAATGGACAGGGAGGCGAGAACGCAAGAGAGGCAATGTGAAGTTCTGGACGTCGGGCAACGGATGTTGTGCGATGCTCTACTTAAGATCGCATCGGCATTGGCCAGGGATTGATTGCGAGGTTGTGACAGCAGAGCACACCCCAAAACCCACGAGGGTGTGCTTGGAGGGGCGGTTCGCGGGGTGTCATTTCATGGATAGATTTCGCCCCTCCAATGTTTTTTTTTTTTTTTTTTCCCGCATCTTGCTTATGTCATTCTCGTTCGCGATGCGCGCCGATGCCGACCATTGGCTTTTGAAGCCGACCGTCACCTTGTGCAGGGTCATTTCACAGGATTGCTTGTTCAACATTCTTAGTCGTTTTTTTTTTTTTTTTTTTTTTTTTTTTTTTTTTTTTTTGTTACACTTTATTTTCTCGATTTATGGGTGTCATCCTTGCGCAGGGTCAGGCTGTTATCTGCGCGGCCGTTTTCGGTCGTGAGATATGATGATCTCGCGGTTGAAATTGACCGCACCTAACGTTCCTTTCCGGTGGGCTGTGNTTTTTTTTTGTGGGCCGTTCGTTTGCGATGAGCGTGGGTGGTTGTACCCCGGGGTCTTGAGGTTCGATGGCGTCCGAGAGGAGTAGGGATAAGCATGCCACCCAGGGGAGTCCAATGGTATCTCGCATCACCGAGGGAGGGGGTTGATAGGATCGGGCCAGTGCGGCGATAAGAGGCTGTTCATCTCGCGGCAGCTATGAAATCACTATTCGCACTGCGTTCCGAATTGAACACGAGTGCGCAATTCACCATCCTCGCATTGGAGGACCGCCTTCGAGACCTCCAGCGACGTCGCATGTATGACCCTCACACGCCGCCAAACAACAACTATCCGCACACTCTCACCGCCCACCTTTCGCGCACCTTCGCCACGTCATATCCCATGAGCGATCTTCCACGCCGGCCTTGGAAACATGCTGCGCTGCGCTTTAATACGTTTCCCTGGCATCGCCGTGCACCCTCCGATATGCGGCACACGACTCCCGGACGTCTTCACACCCGGACGGTTGATTGATCGCAGCTGCGTCGAGGTGCAGCGGTGCGCATCAATGGACATCCACGTGGCACTTAGAGGTCGTGTCCTCGGTCGGACGATAACTTTCTACGAGATGAGGCATCGTCGAGGAGAGGAGGAGGGTAGGTTGTTTGATTTTGTGGGCGAGATCAATCGACACGAAGTGCGCCATTACGAGGTGGACACGAACGGAGAAACAATTCTCCATGTGAGCGTCGCTTTGGGATATGCGGATGACATGCTGCACGAGGTAGTCAGCGACGCAACGAAAGTCGGCCGCGCGATCCCCAACCGCTGGGAAGGAGGAGTGGACGTTCTCGCAGACACCGTCGACCTCCTCATGTCGAACATCGCGAACGAGCACGAGGATCGCATGACTGATCCCGCGGTTTTCCGAGTGCACCCCGATCCTCCCATGCACGACCGCCCGGGTCTCCGTGGCGAGATCCGAAACATCGAAGAGTAGATGCGGATGGAGGCGATGGTGGCAAACCATTGGCAGCTCGCACAGGAGAGAGACCTGTCTCTTATACACATCTAGATGTGTATAAGAGACAGTCCTTGCGCAGGGCCAGGCTGTTATCTGCGCGGCCGTTTTCGGTCGTGAAATCTGATGATCTCGCGGTTGAAATTGACCGCACCTAACGTTCCTT